ATCTCTGGATGTTCCCAAATATCCTGATATTCCACCCAGAGGCTGCCAGGGCCATCCTGGAGTACCGCATCAGGACACTGAGTGGGGCCCTGGAAAACGCCCGGAACCTGGGCTACCAGGTGAGGAAGCCTGGGCACCACCCGGTGGGGCCCACCGTAGGGTCCACACACAGAAAGAACTGGGCAAGAGCCTCCTGGCCCACGGAGGAACGTGCAGTGGCTCCAGAGCCCCCACCTCCTCCTCTTTTTGCCCTTCCACAAGGTCCCATGGGGTAAAGGCTAAGGTTGGGTAGCGTCTGCCCTCTCCCCCACAGGGAGCCAAGTTTGCTTGGGAGAGTGCAGGCTCTGGCCTGGAGGTCTGCCCTGAGGACATTTATGGGGCTCAGGAGATCCACATCAACGGGGCCGTCCTGTTGGCCTTCCAGCTGTACTACGACACCACCCAGGTGAGGTGTTCCATCCACCAGCCCTGCCACCCTAGGCCTGCTGTCACAAGAGAGCATCTGGGAGCCAGGCCTTCCTTTCTGGGCCCTGGATGGGTGGGCACTCAGCACACATAGGACCCTTGGCCCCCAGGATCTGCAGCTTTTCCGGGAGGCTGGTGGCTGGGATGTGGTCAGTGCTGTCGCTGAGTTCTGGTGCAGCCGTGTAGAGTGGAGCTCCAGGGAGAAGCAGTACCACCTGAGAGGTGAGGTGACCCCTGGGAGAAATGGTCAGGAGGAGGGACTGCTGGGGGGCAGGCAGCCTGTGCCGAGCACTGTCCGGACCTGTGTGCCCAGGAGTCATGCCCCCTGATGAGTTCCATTCAGGAGTCAACAACTCCACCTACACCAACGTCCTGGTCCAGACCAGGTCAGCCTCTAGACCGTGCCCCAGCCCCACCCCGGCAAGCAGGGCCAGCCAGAAGCACTGAGGCTGCAGCCTGTCCTCTCTCTACAGTCTGCACTTTGCAGCTGGTCTGGCCGAGGACCTGGGTCTGCCTGTCCCTAACCAGTGGCTGGTGGTGGCTGATAAGATCAAGGTGCCCTTTGACCCGGAGCGGAACTTCCACCCTGAATTTGATGGGTATGAGCCTGGTGAGTGGACCCTGACTTCTGCCAAGGGCCCTTCTGCCTGGCCGGAGACCCGTGCATCCACCCTGATGTGCCCTCAACAGCAGCATCTTCCCCAGGAGAGGAAGTGAAGCAGGCTGATGTCGTGCTCCTGGGGTACCCGGTCCCCTTCCCCCTGAGTCCTGACGTCCGCAGGAAGAACCTGGAGATGTACGAGGCTGTGACATCCCCCCAGGGCCCAGCCATGACCTGGGTGAGAAGCCTGGGGAGTGGCCCCACCTTACCAGCCTCGGTCTTTCTCTCCATAAGCTGGGTTTCACCCCACTGAACTCTGAACTCTGACCCCAGAGCATGTTTGCAGTGGGCTGGATGGAGTTGAAGGACCCATTGAGGGCACGAAGGCTTCTGGACAGGAGTTTGACCAATGTCACTGAGCCCTTCAAGGTCAGCCTGGCTCCCGTCCAGGGCCCTCTTACTGACCACTCTGCTGCCAGTGTCCATGGGGGGAGGTATGGTCACAGAGGAATCATTGCCCTGGCAGTTCCTGCCTGACCTTGGGATGGCAGCCCCAGGAGGTCCAGTGTCCTGGGGTCCCTGGCACTGACGGCCCGTGACCTCCAGGTGTGGACGGAGAATGCAGACGGGTCGGGTGCAGTGAACTTCCTGACAGGCATGGGGGGCTTCCTGCAGGCGGTACTCTTCGGAACCACAGGCCTCAGGTGAGTGCCGGGTGGCACCGAGGGTGGGCCCCTGCCCCTCCCTTCTCACACAGCTCTCCCTGCAGGGTCACCCGGGCAGGCATGACCTTTGACCCCCTGTGTCCAGCGGGGGTCTCCGGAGTGTGTGTCTCTGGCATCTCCTACCAGGGGAACAAGCTCAACTTTATCATCTCCGAGGACTCCATGACAGTTGAGGTCACGGCCCAGGCTGGGCCCTGGGCCCCTCTGTTGGAGGCTGAGCTCTGGCCATCACAGGTTCGGCTGCCTCTGCTGCCAGGTAGGTAGAGGTCTGAGTGATGAGACCGGGATGCCAGTGTGTACCTACAGGGCGCCCCTCTCTCCCTGCAGGACACAAGGCCTCCTTTCCCCACTCAGCTGGCCGCATACAAAGATCACTCCCAGAGCTGCCTGCAGCTCTGACTCCAAGAATTTCCCAGGAGAAGCTCTGAAGACAGAGACCTCTGCTACAGAGCCTCTGGGACATCCTGCAGCCCTCAGCCCCCAGGCCCTCCCCCGGAACCCTGCCCCTGAATGGCCAGGGCTGCTGGCTTCAGAAATGTCTCCTGAACCCCGCTTTTCATCACTGCCCCTGCTCCTCGCCCAGCTCTCCCCCAGTCCCAGGCGGTCTGCCTGGCTTGAGCCCCTCCCCAGCCTCGACTCCACGGGCAGGCAGTTTTCCACACCTCATCTGACCTGGCACCCCGTCTCTCAGTGCCCCATCTTGCTCCCCAGGCACTTTCCAGGGCCCCTGCAGCCAGGGCCTGAGTGTCCACACTCACACCCACCTAGACTCTGGTCACGGGGCCCGTGAGGGGAGTTACTGGCAGGGTGAGGGTGAGGAGGAAGGGGCTCCACCCCGGCGCAGTTGCCCAGGACTGTCGGCTACCGCTTTACCAGAATTGAGCTTTCCCCTCAGTGCAGCTGTGGTCAGGCAGGGCTGGACCAGGGGCGCACGGGTGTCATCACTGACTCCTCTTGACTCCATGTCAGATGGCCTCTGGCACTGTGGGGTGGGGTGGGCAGCCCGTCCTCAACCCCATGGCCTATGAGAAGGGAAGGGGGTGCCATTGCTGGAGGATAGGACTGGGGTGCTAGAGCAAGACCCTCAACTCCCCACTGGCCACCAGAGGGACTAGACTCAAATGTGCTTGGGTTCCAGGCCTTGATCCCAGGCCAGGCTGTGACAGGCGGCTGTTCAAAGACAGAGACTCTGCCTGGCAGCAGCTCCCACGTCCTCAAGCCTGGGGTGGCTCACAGTGACTTCCCTAGAACGAGCTGAGAAGGCATCTGGAGCTGAGACACTGGTGAGGTCCAGACCCGGCACCAGACAACCTGCAGAGTCCACTCAGTGCTGGGCAGAGCTTTGCTCCTATAAAGGCCTATACCTTCTTCTGAAAGTGGGGTTGTGTGATGTCGAGTTTCCACCTCACCTGCAGGCAAGTGCAGCAGCTTGGGAGCCGGGTGGTCCCATCGCGCCTGCCTCCGCTCCTTGCTGTGTCCTGCCACTGCCCCCTGGTCGCAGTTGAGAGTCAGTCTCTTCACCCAGCAGACACCAGGCAGAGCCCTCCTGGGCTTCAGGCAGCCCTAGATGTGGGAATCCCAGGGCCTGTCTCCTGTCTCCCGTCCTCAGCCCCTCCGGCTGGGACACTCATGGCCTTAGCCAGCTGCCTCCACACCCAGGAGATTTGAAAGGAGGGTTCTCACGGCCACCCCAAGAGAAAGTGTGGAGTGCAGAGGCAGGGATCCCTGGACACCAGGCCTCCAGGACACAGTGAGCCAGCAGCATGCTTGCTGGAGCTCAGAGCCAAGGTGGGCAGGGGCTGAGGGTCAAGTTGCAGACTACATGCAGGCCAGTGCATGGCTTGAAGCCAAGGGTGCCTACAGGCTTTTCACTAAAGGCCCTATAAACACTATGGCTGGGTGACAAGGCAGATCTGCTGAGGACCGGGGGCCCCTTCTCTCTGCTGTGGGCCAGGGATTGTCCTAATGGGAGTGGACATTCATTTTTTGCAGCCTCAAAGTCAGGATTGGGCAAAGACATCACAATGGGGTGGCAGGTGGCCCTGAACCCATAGGATTTTGTGGCCTGGTACTTGCTCTGTCTGAGCGTGATTTTATACAGTCACCTCTGTGCATGTGATGGGCCCATGGGGTGAGAGTATGTGTGCCCACAGGCCTGGCCAGCATCCATCAACCTGCCAAGATGAGCCTGGGGAGAGAGGGCGCTGGTAACACTTCCCCAAGTGACTTGGCCACACGTCCTCAGTGGCTGGTCACCGACTAGACAACCTCCTCATTGTTGACGAGATCGTGGGGACTGGTAAAATATCCCACCTTTAGGGATATGTTCCCAGCCACACAGAGGTTGATGCCTGCCCCCAGCCTCTTCATCCAGCATAGGCTGACCCCTACTTGAACCAAACCCAGAGCTTAGGGTCAGCATATTGTCTCTATTCCAGTTCAAGCAGAGGTCTCACACTTCCCTTGACCCTAATTCACGGTGGGACTTTCTCCAGGGCCCAACATGGGCCTGTGCGTCTCCACCCCCAGGTCCCAGCACAGGGCCACACACCCTATCTTCAGCAAGGGTCTCAGGCATGTCACAGGTTGGGGACTGTGTGGGGTCTCCAAGTAGAGCAATAGACAAGAGACCCCTGCCTCTATCCCTGGAAGAGCTGGCAGGCAAAGGGGTCTTCCTGGGGAGGGAGCCCGAGTGGAGTCTTCAAATCCCTGAGCGTCCTTCTGGCTAAGACCCCAGTGACGTGCTGGGGCCGCACCCCAGCCTCAGCCTCATGTGTGTTTGGGTGTGTGTCCCCAGGTGCTGGGCCCTGCCAGTTTTGCTGTGTGGGGGTGTTGGGGTGCCATGTGGTACGTAGGGAGGTGAGGTAGTACAGGAACATGTACCCAGCACAGGGGCTCCGACGGGGTTTCCCACATCTACATCCCCATGACTGCTTCTGCACAGCTGGGTGGAGGACAGAGGGACGGAGGGGGAGCCAGGGGCCTTGCCTGCGCTTGTGTACATGCGTGGATGGTGGAAACAGTGTCCAGCTGCACCCAGGAAGATGGGGGACAGGAGGGAGGGAGACCGCCACCATGCTGAAACCACTGGGATTTGAAGGCACACACAGACCAGGAGGGGCAGCACACAGCCGGGCGGGGCCCGTTCGGAACACAAGCCACCAAACCACAGGCAGCTGGGATCAGAGGCCTGTGTCCCCGACTTCAGGCTGAAACACTCGGGCGCCTCCACCCCGTCGCCACAGGCCACCCTGTGGCACAGTGAAGGGGGACAGTCGGGAACAGCTGAGCAGAGCAGGGTGAGGGAGGGTGGGCCTGGGGGAGTCCCCACAGCAGCCACCCCCGCAGCACCCCCCCACACTGAAGCCAGGAAGGAGGCCCTGGAGGCATGTCAGGGACCTGGCACTTTTAATTGTGATGGAGGTTGGAGCCTGGTGAGTAAGAGGAAAGGGTCAGAGGTAGGAGTTAGGGACCCTCAGGGTTAGGGCCAGGTCCCTGGGGTCTGAATGGTCAGCACTGGGTAGCCAGGTTGGGCCAGGGGCCGCCAGGGGCCTCCAGGGTCAGGGGACGGCACAGCTCAAGGCCCTATGAGAGCCAGCATCCAGCTCAAGGCCTTCAAGGGTTGGGGTCCAGGGACAGGAGAGGACAGGACCCAGCCTGTCAGTCATAGTCTGTGTCTTCAAACTTGGTGCTGAAGAAGGCCGCAGAGTCCTTGGCCAAGCGGGAGAGGTGCAGGGCACCAGTCACCACCAGCCCCAGCAGCAGCAGCGGAGGCACCAGCGTCCACATCGCAGCCAGGATGTTGTAACACTTGGCTTTGGAGCCGTATCGCCGTGCTGCCTCCAGATCCCCAGCCACCTTCTGGTCTCGGGCCTGCAGGGCAGCCGAAGGGCCAGATCAACACCTGCCTGGAGGCCTGGCCACAGATGCACCCAGAGCACCTGGAGGGTCTGCACCAGACCCAGGATCGAGGTGGAGGGGTGTGGCCTGAGGGGACACTCTCTGGGCTAGACCCACTTCCTCCATGGTCCCCAGCTTGACACACTGCTTGACACTTGGTGGGCCTTGGGTCATGATGGCCACCCACCCCAATGGGTGCTGCAAGGGGCGCCTGGCTCCTTGTGTCCAAGATATGGACCCAGTGGCCATCGCAGGTCAGCATCAGCTCCCAAGATCCCTCTGCAGGCAGGGAGTCCTCTGGGGAGCTGAGACCACAAACCCACATAGGAACGGAAGCCACGGGTCTCACTAAAGAGCCACAGCAGATGAGAGTCCCCCTCTGGGGAAAGGGAATCTGCAGGTGGCCCCATGGACGCTGTCATCATCAAGGGACCGTCTCCACCTTTAGGAGCAGGGCTTTGCTATAGATAGCACCCCCTTAGTGGAGAAGCAGAGGTTCTCTCACCTTGGAGAGAAACTGTGGCCACACTAACACAGCCCCCTTCACAAGCTGCCCCCTTCGAGCCCCCAGCCACTCTGGCAGACCCTGACCTCTCCGCACAGCCCCCAGCCCCTCCTCACAACCCTGAGTCTCCCTGAAGCCCCCAGCCCCTCCCGCCACCTCTTCCGCCCACCTTGATGGAGTGCACCAGCGCCAGGAAGCCGAGGCAGCACAGGTTCAGGTAGAGTGTGCTGAAGGCTGACCAGATCAAGTGGTCGCGAGGCGGGGGGCTTGGCGGTCCCAGCACCAGGGCTGTGTGGGCAGCACCGTCAACCTTGCGGGGAGTGGAGGCCCGGGGGCCCTCACGGGGGTAGGACGTGTCCATGGGTTCCAGCGCCGTCTCTTCCTTGCTGGGACTTGCACTTCCAGGGTGGGCACCAAGTCTGCTTATAGCCCTGCGGCCTGCCTCCCTGCCCACCAGCTCTGCTTGCTAAATATAGCACAAATTACAGCCTGGAGCCTGGGAGCAAGGCGGGTCCTCTTGCCCCAGTGTCCCCACCCTCACCCCAGGGACCCAGAAAGACCACTGTCAGACCACCGACCAGAGCCCCCCCCATGTCCTGGCCACCCACCCCAGGAAGACCCCAAGTCAGACGGCTGAGAGGCAGTGGCTGCCCACTGCCTTCCAGGTCCAACTCAGGACTGTGGGTGGCCATGATGCCTCAGTCACAGGCAAGAGGCAGAGCCCTCCAGGCTTGGACAAAGCCTCCTCCTCCCGACCAGAACTGCTGACAGCCAGCCCTCATGCACCAGGACTCAGCCTCCCAGTGCTGTGTGAGGCGGGTAGGGTGGGGGCCAGATGCATCGGTCAGAGAGGGAAGTCTGAGGAGAAAGCTCCAGGGGAGAGGGACCATGAGGCAGCCATCTGGGACTGGCCACACCCCAGCAGTGCTGCCCGGACTGCCAGGAGCCACCTGGCCTTCCAAGGGGTTGGCGTAGACATGCCCCTGGGCCATCCTCGACCTCCTAGGCAGGCAGGTCCTCCGCCGTCCTGAAACGCTAGTGGGTGGGGTGGTCCCTTTGGGGCTCAGGGCTTCCTCCTGCTGTCCTCCTCTTGAGATGGCTCCCCAGCCTCAGGCTGTAGATGCCTCTTGGCCAGCGTCCCACATGTAGTGCCAGGAGGGACTTTTCTCCAGCTCCAAGCTCACAGGGCCCAGTGCCGCTCAGCTGAGGGACCATGTTGCCCCTGCCTGCTCTTGAGCAGGATGCCTCTGAATTCCCCCGACACCTGCGCTGCCCAAAGCCCAACCAGATGCTTAGGCCAAACGCTTACTCCTGCCAAACCCTAGGGCCCACACCCCCACGGGGACCCCCAGAGACCAAGATGCCCAGGCCTCCTCCTGGGGCTCCCTGCTGCTGAGCTAGAGCCCCGTGCCCATAGTTGTCCTGTTGAAACACCCCTCCCTCACCTGCGTAGAGCACAGCGAAGGCCCCCCTCACGCCCATGACCACAACACTGACCAGCAAGAAACTGGGACGCCCTTCCCACCCACATCCTGTGAAATGCAAACTCCGGGGAAGTGCTGGGTAGGACGTGTATCAGGGAAGATCCGAGCCCTGTGGAAGGAGGGAAAGAACGGAGGAAGAGTGGCCACTAGGCCAGCAAGGACCCAAGGTGACCACAGAGGAGCTCTGGGCCAGGGAAAACCATTAGAGACGTCCAGAGTAGGGAGTCCAGGAGATCACTCTGTGTTGGCCACACATTAGAAGCTGGATGTGACCTGGGAAGGAAAGACTTCAAGTGTCACCAACAATGGCAGCAGAAGTGGATGTGCACGCACAGAACTCATGAAAAGCCCACCACGTCCAGCGCCCGCACACCCAGATCCGAGACCTCCCCACCTGGCTTTCTGCTATTCCTGGGCTCCCTGGGGCGGGTCTGCAGCAGTCCACGCTCCTCCACCAGAGCCTTCTCTCCTGCAGGACCAGACTGGCAAAGGGGCGGAGGGCAGATGGCCAGTGCCTGACCCAGGAGGCTCTGTTCATGGCTCTACCAGGGTGAGTATTCTCTGGCTGGGGGTAGCTAGAGGGGAGCACCCGGGCCCTTTCACCTGGCTGACCACACTCTGCTGACTCCTGCACAGCAGGCCACCCACCCAGCGTGGCTTCTGCCAACCTCTGTTGCTCCTGTTCCAGTCACTCATTTGAGGAATGGAAAGTGCCTGCTGGAAGGGTCTGTGGCCTGAAGCCCACTGTGAGTGGACTTTGGATCTGGACCCTGCTGACCCCTTGGTGCCCCCGCACCCAGTGGACAAGGAGTCATGTTGACACTCTGGGTGTCGAGACCCTCACCTGCTCCTATATGTCCACTGTGCCCAGCACCTCTGGAGTCCCCTGTCCTTGGGTCCATTGCCCAAGCAATGTCCACATGGTCTGTGGGAAGGACTCGGGTGTAAGGGTGTGTCCACAGCCATCGCATGGCACTGTCTTTTGTCCTGGGGACTCTGCCCTCCTAGTCATGAGGCTGTGTCTGAAGTTGAGTGAAGGCTCAGGGTCTGACCCTAGGGGAGCATTGCCCTGGGTCCTACCTCGACACCTTTTCCTATCATCTCTAATGATAGACACCAAGGGTGGCAGTGATGCAGACACTGGGAACTGTGACTCAGTGATGATGGAGACGAGATGGAGTTGCATGAGCACAAATTCACAGCTGAGCCTTGGCTGGGCCTCTGCCTGGGCAGGAAGCCCCAGCTCCACAGGGAAGTCCAGGCCCACTCCTGGAGCCCAGGAAGCAGCTGCTCAATGGCTGCTGGGGTGAATTAGGGAGGCATGACGCAGGCGGACCTCAGCTGGTGCAGGCCCTTTAACCCAGGTGTCTTGACCTGCGGGAAGGAGGAGCCAGTGAGGCACCTGGCTCTGAGGACACCCTGTGCAGTGTGAGGCAGGTAAACCAGGCACCTTTGGTATCTGACAAAGTGTGGGTTAGGGTGGGACCTTTCCAGGGCCACCAGGGAGGAGTCAGAACAGGAGGGTGTCTTCCCTTTGTCCCCATGAAGAGCCTTGGCTGTCTCAACAGAACTGCTCACCACAAACACAGCTGTGTTAGAACCAGCTGGCCAGAATGCCCAAAGGGCAGCACGACAGGCAGGGGCGGAAGTGGAGCAGGAGGCTCTTCCTGGACTGCTTCCCAGGGCCTGTCCCTCTGCTCACCCCTGGGGCAGCAGAGGCTGCATTTGGGACCAGATGATGGAGAGAGCAGAGCTCAGCCTCCTCTTGAGGGGGCAGCTCCTGTGAGGGGCAGGTGCATAGGGTAGGGGCCTCTCTCTAGCCCAGTCAGGGCAGCTTGAGGACCCTGGCAGGGCAGCCTCCCCATGGGCAGAGCTGGATGCAGGCCCTGGGCAGCCTGCGTGTGAGGGGAGACAGGGTCCACGGGACCTGGAGCCCCAGACATGGCAAAGTCCTAGCAGCTCACCACGGCCAACAGGAGAAGGAGGTGGATGGGGCCCCAGGTCCTGAGGAGGGCTGCCTGGAAGTGGCCATAGAGTGTGGGATTCAGGAGACGTTTCATTCTCAGAAATAACTTCCCTGGGCCAGACTGGGTGAGCGCCCAGAGTAGGGATGCTGACCTCAGCAATGTCATGAGCCCAGGGTGCACACAGCCACTGTGGGGACTGAACCTGAGACGGATTCAAGGAGAGGGCACTGGGTGAGCTGCCAATCAAACGGGGACCTAGTGGGTGCAGTCCTATCACGACTCTCCTCTGTGCCTTGGGGTCATTCTGCACCTCACCTCTTGCCCCAGGCCCCCCGGGAGGCTGAGCTGCTGCCACCTCTTTCAACTTCATCCTTAGGGACAGCCCAGGGGCAGCCTGGAGAGGGCCTGGCTGTCAGGGTTTCCCCTCAGAGAGGCGAACGCTGTCAGGGTTCAAGCCAGAAGCGGCACACAGGGGCCTAGGCCACAACTCAGCCCCTCAGGGGCAGGCAGCAGGAACACCTGACCCTTCAGGCTGACCTGGAGCTGTAGCCCTGACCACAGATGGACCTCACCATCCCTGAGCAGGGGCACTGGGCTCATCCTGCATGACCAAGGTCACCCGGTGGCCAGCTCCACACCTGAGATGCATACAAGGGAATGTGGCTCTGTGCTGGGAAGCAGCTGGCAAATGCACTGAGCCCCTCTGCCCCAGCCACATGCCCTGGCATGGAAGGCACCCAGGGCAGGAGGCACGGCAGGGCTCAAGTCTCCCCAGACTCCACCTTCATCAGAGGCTTCAGCACAGGAGGCCCAGGACAGTGATGCAGGTCTGGTGGAGATGGGGTCCTTGTTCCCCACAGTCAAAGACTGAACACCAGACAAGAGACAAGGCAAGCCCAGCAAGCAAGTTTCATCTAAGAAAGTGATGGAGACAGACTTCTCCAAAAAGAAGGCTCCCCAGAGCTGAGTGTCCACGAGACAGGGTGGACTTGCCTTTTTTGTAGTCTTCAGAACTCTTCTCCTTTATTAATCAATGTCTTCTATTTCTTCTGGTGTACTAGGTGCACCTTTGTTCTCCCTTTGATAACCACTCCCCACACTCTCGACCCCCACCATGGATTGTCTCCATTGACGGCCTGACCTTTACTGCTATGTCAACCATGGGCTGTGGGCTTCCAGAACACCCTTAGGGAGCTGGGAGTAGAGGGACCCAATGGGACTGGCCCAGCCCTCAATGTGGACCTTGAGCTCCTGCTGCTGTTGACCAGACTGTGGAGTCTCCCAGGCCTGGGAAAAGACCCCAGGACCCCCACAGCCCGAACAGGAGGGATCAGCTGAGAGGTACTGATTTGGGTTCCTGGACAGAAAGCACCGCCCACCTGGTCCTTCCTCCCACTCTGCCCTAGAGAAATTTGATCCTCAGGATTTAGTTCCACCCCTCAACACTCTGCAAATCACCAGCTCACAACAGCCAGGAAAAGGAAACTTCTGGGAAACCGAAAGTACTCGGGAAAGGGTGGGCCAGACAGCAACCCTCCAGCCACTCTGCAGCTGGGCTCCTGTGAGCAGCATGAACCAGGCTCCGCACACCATCTTGATGTACCCCAATGCTGGGCGCCCCACACACTATGAGAAGCTCCAGGAGGAACACGAGGTGGCCGTGCTGGGGGCACCCCAGGGCTCAGCTCCCATGACAACCACCGTGATCAACATGCCCAGAGACATCTCTGTGCCCGACCATGTGGTCTGGTCCCTGTTCAACACGCTCTTCATGAACTTCTGCTGCCTGGGCTTCATAGCCTTCGCCTACTCCGTGAAGGTGTGTGTGCTGTGGGGGGGGCTGGGCAGTGGGAGGGGCGGGGGGGGGGAAGTGCATGGGAGGCTGACACTCCACCTGCACCTGGGGTGTGTGGGTCTGTGTGTGCTGGGGAGCTGCTGTGGATCACCCCTAGGGCTGGTGTCCATTGACCCTGTGTGCCCTCCTCTTTCTGGGTAAGTGTGGGGGCATTAGGGGATCTCCCAGGGCAGGCACAGGAGGGAACAGCCTGGGAATCTGGGGTCACTCTTGTCCCCATCCCCAACCCAGAGGACTTCTCCCTATGCCCAATGGCAGAAATACCCACTGCACACTGCAGAGTGTGGCACCCCAGGCTGTCTCCCAAGCTGGGGTGAGCAGCCAGCACTGGGGCCTGCTGCACAGTCTGAGTGTGTGAAAGGCAAGGGCAGAGAGGACCCTGGGGGCCTAGGCCTAGCACCTGCCTCTCCCCTGACCCTCTGCATCTGGTCTCCCCAGTCTAGGGACAGGAAGATGGTGGGTGACATAACTGGGGCCCAGGCCTTCGCCTCCACTGCCAAGTGCCTGAACATCTGGGCCCTGATCTTCAACATCATCCTGATCATCGGCGCCATCGTGATTCTCATCATCTTCTCAGCAGCGATTGTCCAGGCTATTTGACAGATGATAAACCATCCGGGAGCTTCTAGTCTTGCCATGTCCTGACCCTCCTAGCTGGCCCTGCACCCTGGGCTGAGGCCCTGCCCCTGCACCCCTCGCTTTCTGAAATATTTACACGCACCCATCTGTCCACCGTGGGATTCAATAAAGTGCACTGTACGCGGGTGTGCTGTGATCTCGCCTGGGGAGGGGTCTGCTGGCAGTCCCTGCCTGGTGCAGGATCTGAACCCCTCTCCCTCTGCTGTCGCATGCATGTCCCAGGTTCTGCAAGTTCCTGACTTCTTGCTGTGGGTGCTCAGTGCCAGGTGGCATCTGGCTTTCCCCGTATTTGGTGGCTGCAGGCAGAAGGAGACTGAACTTCCTGTGGCCCCAGGCCTCCAGGAAGTCCCTAGGAACAGAAATCAGGGAGCCCACACAGCCCAGAGGTGGGACAGTAGCTCAGGGTCTCTGGCCTTCAGGAGAAAACAAAACTCTGCCCAGTCACACCTGAGACCTGGGTTTGAGTTTAGTTTTGTGTCTGGCCTTGAGTGGTGGTGACCTTAGGGGCACCCCTGGGCTGACCTTGCCCTGGAGACTGCTGAGGTGGGAGCTGGACGGCCTGCCTCCCCTAAGAGCACTGGCTGATCGGCCCCCCAAAGAGGCCCAGAGCTCTTGGCTGCCTACTGCTCTTTCCCCTGCACAGCCCAGACAGGCTGGGCCTGAGCCCTCCAGTCCCTCAGCAGCACTCCTACTCCAGGGGACCCAGGGACGCAGACCAAGGGGACTCTGGTGCACAGGAACACGAGATGCTACCCCAGCGGCTCGCCCAGGACCGGTCCCTGCCGCCGCCGACCTCAGCACCGCGGTCAAGTGACCGGAGACTGAGGAGGCGGTGGTCCTTCCACGCACCCCTCGCTCGCCAAACCCAGTCCCTGGCGCTTCCGCCCGCCGGCGCTAGTGACCCTCCTAATGCACGTGGACACAGCCTCCGATCTCCGCCTCCGCTCTGGCGACCACCCCTTGCAAGTCTCCGGGAGCCCCAGGGTCGGGGTGATGACTTCTCCACGTGTCCCCCCAGGGTATCCTTGGGAGTCCCTGGAGGTCATTGTACTGAGTCACCCTAGCCCCGTCGCTCAAATCCACGCCGTGTCGTGGGACTGAGACACGTCCTGCAGCTCTTTGCTGCCTAAACCGCCCAAGTGGGTTTGAAATGCACCCCAAAATCCCTGGGGAAGGCAAGTTGGGTTCTGGGAGTGCGGTGTGCTGGCGGGGGAGACCAGGGCTGGCTCTGACTAGGAAGGGGCCCTCGGCTCTTCTGCAGGCTCCAGGGCTTGGTATGTGGTCGGGGTGGCAGCACCTCTGTCCATGTGTGAGGCCCCCGTCTTTTCCTCCCACCTGGATTCTGGCCAGAAGAGCTGCCTGGGTTGGGACTTCCGCCGATAAGACTGCTCGAAGACCCCTTCTAGCGGTGACTCAGCTTACCACCACGCGCGGTCCACCTGTGCCTCCCTGTGAGGTCAGACGGTGCCCCATTTGATTTTCAGGATTGGGGCTGAGACATACGCCAGCGTGGGCAAATCTTGTGTGTACCGCTCCCAGCGAGGATGCCCCCATGGCCCTCACCCCAGGGTGACCAGCAATTCTGCACCCACCCGCCTGCGAGTCCTAGGGCCGTTTCCCCACTCCATAGCCCCTCCGCAAGGCAAAGAGGCCTAGACCTCATCAGTCCTGCCCATGCCCAGGCACCCCCAGAACACGCCATGCCCAGTGGACCCTGCTGACCTTCTTTGGGCCGGCCTATCAGCCACTGCTCCTGGCGGGAGCACATTCCGTTCTCCGCATGAACAGCCCCGGACAAGTTCCCTTCCAGGGAAAGTCTTCTTAGCTGGCTACTCACTCTGCCCCGCGGAGGAGGACACTTCCAAGTTCACTTTGGGCCTTGCAGTGCCGGCTGCCTACAGGGACCTGAGGAGTGCGCACCCACGAGCGGCCAGACCACCCTCAGTCCAAGACCAGCTGGGTCTTCCCCTCTGCCCTCCTATGGGGACCCCACCCCAAATCTGGGCTGGGAAACGTTCTGGGTCTTGCCAGTCCATCTTTATTCATCCCTGCGGGTTGTGCCCGTGGCCGGCAGGGGGCGCCGCTGGGCTTCAGCCTGCAGAAGGTGCTCTCTGCTCAGGAGCTTCCATCCACCCAGGTGACCCTCTCAGGCTCCTCTGGCTCCAACACCTGGCACCCAGGGACAGCGAGAGCACTCTGTCTGCGGACCAGGCACAAGTACAGCGATTCGCTTGAGAGACTCCAGATCTGGGGCACTGGTGGGCACAGGCCGGGGGGCCTAGGAACTTGGCAGGTGGATCTGCAGGTGACCCTCAGGACAGAGCAGACAGGCTTCAGCTTGAAGGGTCACTGCTCCAAGGTTCTGAGCAGAAGGAACTGTCCTCCCAGGCCCTGGCAGGACCCTGTGGAGCCACGTGGGAGGAAGGCCCAGCTCCATAGTGTGTGGGCAACTCTAGAACTAGAGCTAGAACTCACACCCAGGGCCCTGGGTCCCCATCTTGCAGAGACATATTCCTGAGCCAGCACAGCAGGGGTTCAGGCAATTGGACTGGAGCTCTCAGAGTCTGCCCCAACATCCCTGGGAGGTCACCAGGTTTGACACTTCCTTCTGCAGTGAGCCCACAACTGAGGTCTCTGCCCCTCTGCCAGCCACTGGCGGCTCCCCATGAAACAGGAGAATGGATAGTGCCCAGTGGACAGGAGGAAGCAGCAGCCAGGATGGAGCCAGACGTGGCTGGGTCAGGAGGCCCTGGCAGGGTCTCTCTCTGTCACCACTCTCTAGAGACACAGGAGCCCCCATCCATGCAACAAGGCCAGGGCTACACACATCCACCCCAGAACCCAAAGAGGTGATAGAGGGCAAGGGGACTCAGGACACAGTGCTCCCTTGGTCAGGGCTCAGAGGTTGTAGAGAGCCACACCCAGGATCCTGGTCAGCTGCTGCCCACAGCAGGAGGCCAGACAGCAGAGGGAGAGGGGTTCAGATCCTGCACCAGGCTGTGACTGCCAGCAGACCCCTCCCCAGGCGAGATCACAGCACACCCGAGTACAATGCACTTTATTGAATCCCACTGTGGACAGATGGGTGCGTGATAATGCTTCAGAAAGCGTGGAGTGCAGGGGCAGGGCCTCTGCCCAGGGTGCAGGGCCAGCTAGGGGGTCAGGACATGGCAAGACTAGAAGCCCCCAGGATGGTTTATCATCTGTGAAATAGCCTGGACAATCGCTGCCGAGAAGATGATGAGAATCACGATGGCGCCGATGGTCAGGATGATGTTGAAGATCAGGGCCCAGATGTTCAGGCACTTGGCAGTGGAGGCGAAGGCCTGGGCCCCAGTTATGTCACCCACCATCTTCCTGTCCCTAGACTGGGGAGACCAGATGCAGAGGGTCAGGGGAGAGGCAGGTGCTAGGCCCAGGCCCCCAGGGTCCTCTCTGCCCTTGCCTTTCACACACTCAGACTGTGCAGCAGGCCCCAGTGCTGGCTGCTCACCCCAGCTTGGGAGACAGCCTGGGGTGCCACACTCTGCAGTGTGCAGTGGGTATTTCTGCCATTGGGCATAGGGAGAAGTCCTCTGGGTTGGGGATGGGGACAAGAGTGACCCCAGATTCCCAGGCTGCTCCCTCCTGTGCCTGCCCTGGGAGATCCCCTAATGCCCCCACACTTACCCAGAAAGAGGAGGGCACACAGGGTCAATGGACACCAGCCCTAGGGGTGATCCACAGCAGCTCCCCAGCACACACAGACCCACACACCCCAGGTGCAGGTGGAGTGTCAGCCTCCCATGCACTTCCCCCCCCCGCCCCTCCCACTGCCCAGCCCCCCCACAGCACACACACCTTCACGGAGTAGGCGAAGGCTATGAAGCCCAGGCAGCAGAAGTTCATGAAGAGCGTGTTGAACAGGGACCAGACCACATGGTCGGGCACAGAGATGTCTCTGGGCATGTTGATCACGGTGGTTGTCATGGGAGCTGAGCCCTGGGGTG